ATAGCATAAGCTGGCTTTACACACACACTTTTACTTACTGTAGCATTTCCCAACCTTTTTCACCCCATGGAACTTACATGGCTTCCCCCACCCCATGGCACACTGGCCGCTAAGCAAGCAGCTGAATGCCTCAGACTGGGGGTCAGGCAGGCAGCTGAATGCCACAGACCGGAGCTGGGGGGAGTAGTGAGTGGGTCAGCATCTGAATCACTGGCTGGAGCCAGCTCCCCCCGCAGCTGTCTGATTGCCCACAGCAGCAGCAGGCAGAGGGCATGGCTCCAGCCCAAAATGCCACAGCACACCTGGACATGCCCAATGGCACACCAGTTGGGAAACGCTGACTTACTGCATTATTTGATTTTTATTGCAGATAGCTTATGTCGTGGGAAAACCACACAATTTTTACCACAGCAAGTTAAAAGTTGATTTAAAAAGCAGAAGGGTTATTTGTGACTGTGTTAATACAAGTACAGTAAGTTATAATACTGCCTGTAACTGTTTTCAAACAGAACCCCTTCTAAAATAGAAAACACAAAACAAACATATACCTTCATGTCTTTATCTGACAGTGAAAGAGACACTTTCTGAAATACGCTTTTGAAAGTGTGTGCGTGCGTGCATGTACACATGCATGCTGGGGGGGGGGGGGGGGGGCAGCGTTGGGTGCAGCCCGGTTAAGCCTTTTCAAAATTTGTACTGGTGTTAAACCTATCCAACAAAGTTACAATTAAAAATTGTTTTCATACAGTTAAGATACTTTAGTTACGTAAGCTAGCTTTTTCTTTACAATACACTTACGCAGGTAACCCATGGCTGCTTTTTAGTTACATAAGCTGGTTTTATCTTTATAACATGCTCCCCAAGAAACATGACATAAGTGAGAACATATTTTAAAACAGTCTTTATTTCCATCAAATCTGTACAATATTTATTTACTGGTGTTTTTTTTGTTAAACCTTCCTTCTCTTAAGAAGGGTATTTATCATTTCTAGTGATAGCTAAGTCTTGCTGCTTTCATCTTTACAACACACTCAGAGCTAATTCACTCTCAACCCAAAACCCCCTCCCCATATGAATGTACTTGGATATCCAAGTCGATGAAACAAATGGCAAACTATTCAGCCAAAAATTGCTGTTGTGATTTATTCTCGCTTCAATGGTTCAACAAGGGCAGCCCAAGAAATGAACCAGCATGATACAAACAAAGCCAAATATGCTCATGAAAAAAGTGATACAAAATTTCTAGTGTCAATGACAGGTTTGTCTGTCTGTCGTACAGTGAATACTGCTGTAACTAGTTAGCAATGTGGCTGTTCAAATCCATATTTTCAGAACGCCTGTATTTGGTTGTAGTTTTGATACTATAATGTCCTCTGCTCTCATGCAAGTGGTTAAAGCAAAAGCTAACGGTTGCAAATCAGTTACAGAAAGTTTATAATTTTGCCTCTCAGTATAATGTAAGCATGGGGGTAAATAAGCATGGTAGCCAAGTCTTGCTGGTTTTATCTTTACAACACATTCACAGAACTGAAGTCCACCCCCACCCAAAGCCCACCCGTCAAAAAGCAAAACACACACCAGTAAAAATACATTTTAAAACTTTTTCCCAAACCCTTCTCCTAAGCAGGGTTTTATCATTTCTAGTGTCAAATTAAGTGTTCAGTGTAAGACAACAAAGGCTTATCTTCCTCACTAATCAACCCATAAAGAGTAGCATTAGGAACACCCAGGGTAAGCGTTTCTCAGAGAGACAGACCATTCATGGCATAGCCTATGGCATTAACAGTATTTAAAACACTTTCCATACAGACCTTATCACAAAAGTTCCTGAATTGTCCGATTTATATCTTCATCTAGCTAGGTAAAGACATTCATGACTACCTTGACCACATGTCAAAAACACATCCCATACATTTGTCAAAAAGCCTCAAACAATATTTCATTATGCCAAAAAAACTCCCACAGCCCACACACAAGAGCTTTCATGATGCTTTTACATTTTTGACGAAAAACAGGACCTGCTAGTTCTATTCCTAACTACTTTTTGAAGAAAGTCACAGTACTGTCTTCTGAAATGCCAGGTCTCTGTTCTTTATAAAAGCAGCTTCTCTTCTCCAGTATCAGGTTTACAGGTGTGCAGGCTTTCTGGGGTCATTAAAAAGGCTGAATCTAACTGCAAAGGGGATTAAACAACCCAAAAAACACCCCCCCCCAACTTGTTAGTCACTGTTTAATCAATCCTCAGCCAATTCGTATCCCACCATGGTCCCAAGCCTCCCCCCACCCCCCCCCAGGCATGCTTCAAGTCTTACTAGTATCTCTGCTCCCTTATCTTCTTCCCACTCAGGGTCTGGAGCAAGGAACCCCTCTTCTCCCAAATCGTCAACATCCACTCCAGAAGACTGGGCCTCCAACTCACAGGCCTGCTGCATGTTCACATGGGCTTCCTGACCAGGTTGAGGCACCTCAGGCAGTCTTTGGGTTAGAGGACTGCTTTCTTTAAATCTCCTCAGAACTATCACTATGATAATGCTTCCTTTGCAAGTGTTTGACAAGTCTTGGTGCTAAAGCAAGGATGAGGGGTCTTACTGGTGTAATGTAAGAATCCATATCTTCTTCCATCTGCCTTAGCCTGGGCTCAGAAAAACATATGGTCAGCTTTGGAAAACAGATAGACCGAGAGCTTGAAGGCTGGACATCACACGTCTACTCAGCCTGGTTGGCTCGGCACCACCCTCAGAGAGGCCTAAGGCCTCTGAAATCCCCCACAAATTTGTCAAGGGCAGTAGGATGGGTTGTTAGAGAAGTCACAACCACCTCCTTTCCCCCCACGCCCCATTACCTGATAGGCAGCATTTATGCCATGTGGTCTATGGCAGGCCATGCAGCATGAGGGGCGGTCATTGGGGCCCTAATAGGCAGCCCTTCTTATGTCACAGACCATATGGGGGGCAGGGAATTCTGGGACCAACATGGCAGTCAAAATGGATGCCAAAATGACAGCCAGGAGGTTCTGTCACGTGCCATGTGACCAGGGGCAGAGTTTCCAATATCATACACCATGCGACATGGCAAGGGACAAGAAGATGGTGACCAAGTCGCAAGGTTTCTAACATCATACACCATGCGACAGGGCCAGGGTACCTGTTGATAGGATGTGTGCCCTACATACTACTATCATACACATCAACTTTTTTTTTTTGGACAAAGTAAAACAGAGTTTATATTGAACAGCTGCCATTAAATTAGCAATAGATGCCCTCCCCAAAATCCAAGAGAACGATGGTTCCCTTTAAATGTCCATTCCAAATATTCAGAGATGCTTTTTCCTGCCTTTGCCCTGTGTTCTTCCCCCTCCCTGTCCCCCGGATTAGCTCCTTTCTATGGAGATTCATTAAGTATTTTGTCACTCCAGCATTTTTTGCTATTAAGTTATCAGTTGTACGCAATGCAGCTAGAGAGCTAAACAAATGCCTAAACACAAATGTCTAAATCTGATGCACAGTATATTGCACTTTCGCACAACTAATGCTCTAAATGTCCATTTATTCCTAAACCTTCTGGACAACTTAAAAAATTCAGCATGCATAAAATAGAACAAACAAAACAAGTAAACCAGCATTATTCAATAGTTTCTTTCTATTCCCCCAAAATTTTCCCTCCAAAACAGTCAGCTCAAAAGAAGTGCTGCTTTTTGAGGACTGGGTTCTAGTACCTTAGTGCCATCTTTGCATCCAGGGGGGGCGGCGACGAACGGACACAAAACAGACAACAAATTTCCCATTTTGTTGACTTGGCTGTAAGCACTAGGATTTGTGTCCATTTTGTAAACAGTTATACCATAACATGTATGCCAATATTGCTCATTTCTACTATAAAAGTGAGAAAATTACATGGAGGAAGGGCCACAAAATCTTTTTTTTTTTTTTTTTTGTCTGCCACCATGAACAGCTCAAGAACCTAATGTTTTAAGCAACACTGACTAAAGATCTGGTGAGCAATATATTAAATGTAAGTTTAGATGAAAAATAAGTACAATTTTAACTAACATGGAAAACTAAGTGGGTGTATACTGTCCTGGGACCGGAAACCTAGATTAAGTGCCAAAAATAAAAGTAAAATGTTAATTTGAAAGAAGGAAACTTCATGGCTCCCTTCTGCACCTTTCTAATATAGAACCTTCCAATATAAATGGAATTCCTTAAATGCAAGTACAAGGATTTCAGCTCTTAAAAACCAAAATATCTCCTATCCACAAAACAGTTTGATGTAAATGACAGCTAAGGAAAACACATGAAGTAATGACTGACACTAGACAGAATTAAAGTTGAACCACAAGTGTGCCCAAAAATCTTTTACCTGAACTTGCTTATAAAGCCTATAGAGTTCCACTTTTATGAACAGCACACAAACTAAGGAAGCCAAAACATGGGCATCTACTTTCAACGCATTTGTTCCTACACAGCAAACACGCACAAAATCTTTTTTCTAATATTTATTTTTTTTCACCTGCAAACTGTAGCAAAACATGATCAGCTTTATTATGCAAACAGATATCCCTCTACATTAGAGAACTTAGGCATGTATAAATAGAAGAGCTCTTAGGAAAGGAAAACATCTTGAGAAATGAACAAAACCTCCAATTTAACTTCATGACTTCCAATAGCAATGGTTAAAATTATGTAAGTCATTCATTCCAAGAGATACAACAGCACCTCAAAATGGCTGATCTATTTTTCCCCGTAACATTTTTCACATAACAATGTGTTAAAGTTACAAATACTGATATGCACAAATAGCTATTTTCTAAGAAAAAATATGTACAGTACTGCAGCATAATGAATGTGGTATCTGCGATAACTTATTAGCCAATTTTAATATACATGATACCGCTACTTTTTTTCTCCTGCCAATTCACAGGTTAAAAGATGTTACCACAGCCCTCTGTTTTGCACATTATTACCTGGTTTGGGGGGGGGGGGGGGGGGGG